AATGTTAAAGAGTTAAAGGGGGAGGACATAAATATTGTGCAAGCCAAAAAACTTACCGAAGAGGGAGAAAAAATTATTTTGGCAGATATTCCTCGGGAGAAAGCCGAAAATATTAAAAAACAGTTAGAAGACAAAGGAGTCCAAGTGGAAATAAAAGAAATTTAATTAAATGTCATATCGAATAATTAATTCGGGAGAAAATCAGCGTCGCGAGTATCTGGCACTCAATCGCTCACCCCTTTTTCAGGCTCTGCCGGGTCGAGATTTCGCCCATGAGCAAAAGTTATCTTACTCTCAATTCCTCACTGAGAGATTACCCCGCTTGCTAAACTTCTATTTTCCCGCTGAATTTAGTGATTACAATAACCACATTCGGGTAAATATTACCGATTTTAAGTGTCAAGAGCCAGAAATTAGTGAACAAGAAGCTCAAGAAAACTACCTGACTTGGAACCATACAGTTTCTTTCAACTGGAAAGTTGTTTGAGATTTTCACATTAGGCAAATTCAGTTAACTGATAAGGATTTAGAAAAAAATATTAGCCAGTGAGTGGAAGAGAGTTTTAAAATTGGCAAGTTCACTTGTAAAAAAAAGTCTTTTTCGCCTGCCGAATTAAAGGCTTTATTAACCCAAACCCACCAACAATTACAAGCATTATCAGACCACGACCACCAAGAAAAAAAAGGTTTGGTGGAAAAATTAACCAAGAAAATCCAATCCCTCGAACAAGGCGAGTATCAAGAATGAGCGATAAAAGAAACTAAGGGAAAATTAAAAATAGTATTGGAGATTTTAGAACAAAACCCAGACCATTTAATAATTAGTTTTCATTGTGAACAAGTGAAAGAAATAACCTTTTGTCATTTACCCAAAATGAACCCCCAAGGCAATTTCATTATTAACGGACATAATAAAGTAGTTATTTTTCAATCAGTGCGGGCTCCGGCTCTTTACTTGTTTGCTAACGAAGAAAATAAATTCTATGGAGAGATTATTCCTTTCAAAGGACCCTGAATTAATATCTCATATAGAACTAAAAACCCGCAGGCTATTGAACTAAAATTCCTTAATTCTGGCACAGTGGTTAGCTTGCTAGATGTCTTAAAAACCTTTATGGTGCCCGCCGAATTAGTAGAAAAATTGTTTGGGGAAGAGTTAAACAGAGAGGACTATCCAACCACCCAACCTTTAGAAGTAGGAGTTAGTTTGCCTCATTTCTTATTTACCAAAAAAAACTCTTATTTTGATATTGGAAAATTAGGGCGGAAAAAGTATAACCAAAAAGTAAGTATTATTTCCCAAGTAGAGAATCAAGAGCTAGCCGAAGATTTATTGGATAACCAGGGAAAATTAATTTTAAAAAAAAGTGCTCAACTGACCGGGAAAAATCTCCAAATATTAGCCCAAGCCTTAGAAAAAAATAAAATCCCTTCTCTGATGATTCCTCATTCTACTAATGACTTATATGTAATAAAAATAAAATCCCCCCGCCATCCGGAAAAAATTAGCACTATTGTTGGTATAGGGACAGAAATATCCGAAGAAAAAACTTATTTTGATTTAGCAGATTTAATTAGTTTAGTAGCCAATTATATTAATCTTTATCAAGGTCTGGGGAAGGTCAAAAAAGAAGAAGATAAAGACCAATTAGAAAACCAAGTTATTCGACGAGTAGGAGATTTGGTTTATAATATCTTTGATAATAAATTAGGAGGATTTTTACAAGGTCTGGACAACAAGTATTTAGCCTCTATTTCGCAATTGAAAAAAGTTGACTTGTTAAAATTGCCCAACTTAAAAGATTTTGATAATCTTATTAAACATTTTTTTAATACTTCGGCTTTGGTCCAATTACAAAACCAAAATAATCCGTTATCCGAAGCCTCTTATACTCGTAAATTGAGCGTCTTAGGTCTGGGCGGATTTAGTTCGGCTAATACTACTATGGCTGCTCGTAATGTTAATTCTTCTTATTATGGCCGTTATGATTTAGTGGAAACTCCCGAAGGACAACGAGTAGGTTTAGTTCATAACCTCACTATTGGAGCAGAAATAAACGATTACGGGCAAGTAGTGGTTCCTTATTATCGGGTTCACCAGGGCGTAATTACTCCCCAATTAGATTTATTAAACAGTGAGGGAGAATGAGACAAACATGTGGCACATTTCAATATCAAGATTGACGAGAAAAATCAGATTGAGGAGGAAACAGTATTAACTCGTTACCGAGGAGATTTTGTGCGAGTGCCCAAAGAAAAAGTGGATTATATTGACAGTTCTTTTTATCAGTTGAACTCTATTACTAGTTCTACTATTCCTTTTTTTCACCACAATGATGCTACCCGCATGCTCATGGCTTCTAATATGCAACGCCAAGCGGTTACTCTCAGCAAGTCCCAAGTGCCCTTAGTAGCCAGTGGTATCGAAACTAGCTTGTTAAATAATTCCCCTTTGGTTATCAAAGCCACCGCCCCGGGTCAAGTGGAATATGTGGATAGTCAACAAATTATTATCAAAGAAAAGAACAAAAATAAGCAAACTTATAATTTAAAGCAGTTAGTAGTGGCTAATAAAAATATTCTGCTTTTTTCTACCCCCTGAGTAAAAAAAGGACAGCAAGTAGTTCTCGGACAAATAATGGCGGCTGGCAATTATGCTAATAACGGTGAATTGTCGTTGGGTTATAATTTACGGGTGGCTTACTTGTGTTGGCATGGCTATAATTATGAGGATGCGATTATAATTAGTGAAAGATTAGTAAAGGAGGATATTCTGACTTCTTTTTTTGTTAAAAAGCACGCGGTTATTCGTTATAATACCAAGTATGGTCCCGAGGTTTTTACTGCCTCTTTTCCTCACTTAGAGAAAAAACGGTTTCCGCATTTAGATAAGGAGGGCATAGTGAAAGTAGGCAGTGAAGTCAAGTCTAATGACATTTTAGTGGGTAAATTAACTCCCGAGCCCGGTTTACGTCAACCTGCTGCTGAAGAATTGCTCTTAATGAGTATTTTGGGTGAAAAAGCCCAGCGTTTTGTTAATTCTTCGCTTTATTTGCCCGTGGGGGAAAAAGGAACAGTTTACCAAGTCAAAAGGAAAAAGTTCCCCAAAAATAAAAATGAATTAGAGTTAGTGGAGATTTATGTGGCCCAGGAAAGAAAAATTGAAGTAGGAGACAAACTAACTACGCGTTTTGGCAACAAAGGGGTGGTCGCCAAGATTGTGCCAGAATCTGATATGCCGTTTGACGAGCAAGGTCAAACTATTGACATAATTTTTAATCCTTTGGGCATTCCTACCCGTATGAATATCGGGCAATTGCTCGAAACAGTACTGGCGGCTGCCGCCCATCGTCTTAATACTAAATTACTAATTCGCCCTTTCAATACTCCCAACTTGGCTACTATTAAAGAAATTCTCCACCAGGCAGGGATAAAAAATGGTAGCCAAAAATTATTTGACGGGCAAACTGGCTTGCCTTTTGACCACGATATTTATAATGGTTATATCTATACTATTAAATTAAATCATATGGTAACGGATAAATTCCATGCTCGCGATATTGGTCCTTACTCTTTAATTTACCAACAACCCCTCAAAGGGCGCGCCCAAGGGGGCGGGCAACGAGTAGGCGAAATGGAAGCCTGAGTCTTAGAAGCCCACGGAGCCGCTTATAACTTAATGGAAATGATGGGGGCTAAATCGGATGACATTTATAAACGGCGCTTAATGCAAAATACTTTATTATTTGATGACCGACAAGTGGACCTTAATAGTAGCCAAAGCGAATCTTTTAATCTTTTGCTCCAATACTTACGAGGCATTGGTTTTGACTTGCGAGCCACTGATTATCAAGACAAAGAAATTGATTTTTACAAATATTTCAGCAAAAACTAAAAAAATTAACTTTATTTTAAAAATATGTCTCTCTTTAAATCTTTACAAATAACTTGGCTTTCGCCCCAGCGCACCCAACAACTTTCTTTTGGTAATATTACTAGTCATAAAGTAATTAATCCTCGCACTTTTAAACCCGAATTGGGGGGGCTTTTTGACCCGCGGGTTTTTGGTCCTTTTCTTAATTATGAGTGCTATTGTGGTAAATACCAAGGCAAACAAAACAAAGGACAAAAGTGCGAACGCTGTGAAACCTTAATTACCGAAAAAAATATTCAGCGGTGGCGAATGGGTCATATTAGTCTGGTGGCTCCTGTTACCAATATGGTTCTTTTTAAAACTCTGGGTACTGATTTAAGTAAGTTATTAGAAATTCCGGCCAAAAAGTTAGAAGAAATTATTTATTTACAAGTTTACGTGGTGCTGGATAATGGTTTAACTAGTCTGCTGAAAAAAAAAGAGATTTTGGAAAAGAAAATAGACCCCCTCCTGATTAGTAATATTTTGCAAGAGATTAGCGAAAATAAGAAATTAGGTAAAGAGGTTATTAGCCAAGCTCAAAAATTAGCCGCTGACTTGGCCAACCAAGACCAGTCGGTCGAAAATACCATTTTTTTAGAAGATTATTTAGATTTTTTAGAAAAGCATTGCCAAGTGAAAATCTGAACGGGCTCGGAGGCTTTCCAAGAACTAATTCAGGGGATAAATATAGAAGCCGAACTAAAAGCTGCCCAGGAAAAAGCGGTTTCTCTCCACCAAAAAACTACCAATAAGAAAATTAGACTTCTCCAAGCCTGCCAAAAAACGGGAATAAAGTTAGAATGAATGATTGTTAATAATCTTCCCGTAATTCCTTGTGGCTTGCGACCCGTAACCAAATTAAAAGAAGAAGATACTATTGCTACTACCCAAATTAATAATCTTTATCGGAAAATAATTTTAGTCAACGAAAGATTAAAATATTATTTAGACTTAAACCGTGATTTTAAGGTTTTTTTTAACGAAATTATTCATAATGAAAAAAGACGCTTACAAAAAGCCTTTGATAATTTGACTTATGGTTCACTCCGCAAGCAAAATGAAACCAAAAGTTTATTACAACATCTAAGCGGGAAAGAAGGAATATTGCGCCGTTATTCCTTGGGAAAAAGAGTAGATTATTCTGCTCGCTCGGTAATTGTTCCTAATCCCACTCTGCTTCTTGACCAAGTAGGTTTACCAGTGCCCATGGCACTCACTCTTTATAAGCCTTTTCTGCTGCAAAAATTGTTAAAAGAAAAAATTGCTTTCACGGTTCCCGAAGCCGAGCAATTATTCCATAACCAAGCACCCGTTATTTTTCCGTTATTAGCCAAAATTGTTCACCAGCATCCAGTTTTAGTTAACCGGGCTCCGAGTTTACACCGTCTCAGTATTCAAGGTTTCTATCCCCAATTAACTCTGGGCGAAGCAATCGAACTTCACCCCTTAATAACTACGGCTTTAAACGCGGATTTTGACGGGGACCAAGTAGCTATTTATTTACCTTTAACCAAACGAGCCCGCGAGGAAATTAAGGAATGTGTTTTATCTCCCCACCATATCATTGACCCCAAAAACGGGCATTTGATAAGCATTCCCACCCAAGACATGATTTTAGGGATTTATTATCTCACTCAGGAAAAGAAAGGAGAGAAATTTATTTTTGTGGACGAAATAGGAGATATTTACAAAAGTTATGAGCGTGGCACCATTAGTTGACACGATTTAATTATTATTCCTGCCCGTTTGGTTAGTCGTAATTTCGCTAGCGTGAAAAACCAATTCTTGCTTACCACTGGAGGGAAAGTAATTTTTAATCAAATTTTACCACCTAGTTTTCCTTTTTATTTAAGTAGTTTGACTGATTATGAAGCAACCGACCATTATCAAGAAATAGTAATGACCGTAGCAGAAATAGAAAAAAAATGAGCCGATTACCAGCCCCAGCCTGGCTGAAAAAAAAAGGATATTATTAATTTTCTCAATAAGTTAGCCAAGATAACCCCTCGGGCGGAAATGGTGGACTTTCTGGATAAATTAAAAAAACTAGGTTTTGATTATGCTACTTCTTCGGGTATTAGCATTTCCCCTTGGGAATTAGGAACCATAGTTGACAAGGAAAAATTATTAACGCAAGCTGAAGCAAAAATTAACCAAGCTGACAGTTATTATTCCCAAGGTTTTTACGAAGAACAAGAATTTCACCAAAAAAAGATTACTATTTGAGAAGAGTGTAAAGAAGAACTACAAAAACGATTAGTTAGCAAGTTAGAAAAAAAAAATACTACTTCTTTTTATCATATTTGAAATTCCGGAGCCCGGGCAAGTAGTGAAAACTTAACCCAAATTTTTGCTATGCGGGGTCATACCACTAATTATTTGGGAGAGGTCATTGAAACGCCTATTACTTCTTCTTTATGGGAAGGGTTATCACCCTTGGAGTTTTTTATTTCTGTTTACGGAGCCATTAAAGGCATGATTGACCTCGCCTTAAAAACCGCCGAAGCGGGTTATCTAACCCGACGTTTAGTAGAATCTAGTCAAAATATCACTATCACTTCTTCTGATTGTCAGACTCAAGCGGGAGCACTACGGGAAGAAAACATCGAACTTCCTCTCACTAAACAGGTATATGGGCGTTATTTGGCTGACGATATTGCTAACAAGAAAAAGGAAATTATTCTAACCCGCAATACTCTCTTGTTAGAAAAAGAAATAAAAATCATTCAAGAAAACCAAATTAGTTCCGTTTGCATTCGCTCACCTTGGCACTGTGAGACCGAAGGAGGAATATGCCAAAAATGTTATGGCTTAGATTTGAGTAGACCCGGTGAAACCATTGCCCTGGGAACCGCTGTCGGAATAATTGCTGCTCAATCACTCGGAGAACCAGGAACCCAACTAACTATGCGAACTTTCCACACTGGTGGAATATCCAGCGAAGAAGACATTACCCAAGGATTACCCAAAGTTAAGCAAATATTTGACAATATTAAACCGGATAAAGAAGAAAAGGCTATTTTAGCAAAAAGTGAAGGGATAATAAGCAGTATTACAGCAATTGACAGTAATGAGACCAACTTCTCTCGGCTAATTAAGCAAAAAGACCAAGCGGGAGCAGAAATTATTTATCCCATTGAGAAAGAGCGACTAGTTCGAGTTCAACCCGGAGAAAAGGTGAAAAAAGGACAAAAGTTGACGGGAGGGAAAATTGATTTAGAGGAATATTTAGAAATCGTAGGCCGGGAAGTTTGCCAAAATTATATTAAAGAAGAAATAAGAAAAGCCTATAATAATCAAGGCATTGAAATTGCTGAAAAGCATATCGAAATATTTGCTTGTCAAATGCTATCAAAGGTTGAGGTAATAGCAGGAGGAGATAGTGATTATTTAGGCGGAGATATAGTAAATTATCAACAAATCCAAAAAAATAATAACTTTCTGCTAAGCAGCAAAAAAAAACCTATTATCTTTAAAGATATTATTTTTAGTCTAAAAGACTTGGCTTCTCACCCTCCTTCTTTCTTAGCAGGCATATCTTTCCAAAACACCTTAAAAGGGTTAGTGGATTATTCCTTATATCAACCTATTGATTATTTACAAGGCAGCAAGGAAAGTTTAATTGCCGGACAGTTAATCCCCGTTGGCACTGGATTTAAAGAGCGGGGGAAATACACCAAAGGAACAACCCGCAGCAAGTCCAAAGAGCAAACTTTTTAAATTTTGCCGTAAAATTATTTTACATAGGAGAGCAGCAAAAGGGAGCGCGGGTCCGTAGCTCAGTTGGTAGAGCATCTGTTTTGCACACAGAAGGTCGTCGGTTCGAAACCGGTCGGATCCACCAAGAATAATCAGGCAAAGAAATCATAATAATAAAATATTCAAAAAAAAGTAACTTTCATTTTAGTAGGAGTCAGTTTGCTCTTTTTGCTAGGCAGTTATGACCCACAAAATTAGCCGAGAGAGTAATTAGAGGCTCAATTAATCAGTTAGAAAAGTGCTAAAACCTCAAAAAAACCATTTTTGCGGACTGAAAAGATAGTTCAAGCAAGTTTGGAAGAGTTTGCACAAGAAATACAAAATAAGTGATTAGATAAAGTATCAAGTTAAACAAAAGGAAGTGTGCCTGAGTGGTTGAAGGGGCTGGCTTGGAGAGCTAGTAATATTTAATCATATTCGGAGGTTCGAATCCTCTCACTTCCGCCAAAATTAAATATGAATAATCAAATTGTCATTCGTTTTTGGCTTGTCTCTCCCATTTTGGAGCCTAAAACTTGAACCAAGGATAATATAAATTATCTGCTTTTTCGCTTACAGGGAAAAAAAGACGAAAATGTTTTTTTATATTTTCCGCCTGGCAATGCTCCTTTGCTAATTATTCCCGATGACAATTCCCCCTCGTTAACCAAATCAAAAATCGCCAAAAAGGTGACTATTTTGCTACTTCTTTTGCTAATTTAAAACTTAAACGTGATTTTCTCAAAGGGCATATGCTCGACCCAAATCAATTGCTTGGCGGACTTTTGATAAAAGACATTAACAAATTAGAAAAAGTTAGTGAAAACTGTTCCTTTGCTTATCCCGAAATTACTTTCAAGGTTATTAATCAATTTAAAGAGGGTCATGGAGAAGGCAATGAAGGACGATTGTCCTACCAAGAAAGTTTTTCAAAATATGGAAGTTATACGCATATTCTAGAAATTGAGCCATTAGAATTAGGAATCGAAGGAATGGATTCGATTACCAAAATAATTTTTCAATTTGCTGAACCGACTCAGCGCGTCTCTTTTAAGCCACTAACAAAATCTAAATTGTATAAAAGTAACATTCTAACTGAATCAGTAGGAAAAACTTTTACCATGCGAGTTAAAAGTTGAAATTGATGGTCAGGTTTTAATATTTTAACCTTTGATAACGATTGAGATTTTGAATTGGATAGTTTTCAAGAAAAAACAGGAAATGACAATCAGCCTACTAATTCAATGCTAAGAAATTCACAAAACAAGGATTTTTTGGTAATTAGTGGAATTATTAGCAGTTTAGTTTTAATTATCCTTGCCCTTTTATATTTTT